GAGCAGCAGCGTCGCAAGCACCTACGGCAACAGCCTCACCAGGACCTAGAGCAGCAGTCTCAATGCCCGGATCGGGCGGGAAACACCGGTAACAGTCACCCTCATCACTAATAGACACAGCATACATGGCAGAGAGAATAGCATCAAAGTCAAGATCATAGATGGCAACACCCGCCCTAGACAGCTCGCCCCAGCGAGGGATCTCGGAGGCCTCCGGGAACTGGTGACGCCACGCGTCCGTCAGGCGGCCAAAGCAGCGCTGGGTGGGGTGGGCACCCCCACACTGCTCACCCGCACGGTCGCCAGTGCGCAAAACGTAGGAGCACGGACCAAAACCCCCACCCCGCTGACGCGCAGTGTACCACTCACGAAGCTGCTGAGGGGACAGGGTGTCACGACCACGCTGCTGCTGCTGGCGCGAGCCACCACCGGAGCCACTCCTCTGCGAAGACCCGCGACCAGCACCACCGCCACCCCCGCCGCCTCCGACGCCTCCGCCGCCTCCGCTACTGCCGCCGCCTCCGCCTCCGCCGCCGCCTCCACCTCCGCCACCTCCGCCACCTCCGCTCCCACCGCCACCGCCGCCGCCACCTCCACCTCCACTGCCGCCACCGACCCCTCCACCCCCACCTCCACTCCCACCGCCACCCCCACTCCCCCAACTGCCGCCACCTCCACCTCCACCGCCCCCGCTCGCTCCTCCAGCGCCCTTGCCCCCCTTGCCCTTGCCAGAGCGGCGTCTCCCGCTAGGGGCAGACGCCGCACCGACCGACTCAAGATCAAGGAGGTCGGCCGCAGCAGCAGAGGCAACAGAGGGCAGAAGGGGGGAGGGGGAACACCCCTCAAAGATGGGGGTGCGCGGGTCACCACGAGAGGCCCCTACAGCGACTATGCTCTTCTCGGCCGCTAGGAGGGACTTCTCGAGGAGGTCAACAGTGAGAGTGGTGGGACAGACAGAGAGAAAGTGGTCCCTGACTACGCGAAGGGAGTCAGGAAGGCGAGTGACTATGTAGTAAAGAGTGATGTACATGGGGGGGGGGTTCTTGGCGCAGAAGTCAGGAGGGAGTGCAGCGCGGTAGCGAGTGTCACTAGTGCGGAGGTGCGTAATGAGGTCAGCGACTGTGGGAAAGGCAGCAAGGTCAGGAAAGAGGTACGGTAGCATGAGACGGCTCAGTGCAGCAGTGGCAGGGGAGGAGTAGCGCGCAACTACAGCGTCGTACAAGGTCTGAGCACTCTTGTACTGACTAAAGTGCGCACGCTCGGAGGTAGGGAGGTGGCGACGCACAGCAAGACGTGCAGCAGCGTCGCGCGTGGCCCACTGGGAGCGAACAGTGGCGTCAGCATCAGCAGCAGGGGCAGTGGAGGCGCCAGAGGTGAGGTCAAAGAGAGAGAGGCCGTCTGCCCTATCGCACTGTAAGAACAGCTGCAGGTCATCTACCCAGACCTCAAAGTCAATGGCCCGACCCTCAGCGTCAAAGGCGAGAACACTAGGGGTAGCCATGACCCTAGACGACTAGCAGCGCAAACAGTAGGGTGAGGACAGTGCAGTGAAAAGGCGCTGTGCTCACCAGACTGGGCAGGTCGGGCGGCCCGGAAGGAGGGCGGCGCGGCGGCTCGGCGGCTCAGCTGCTGGGCGGCTCGGCGGCTCGGCGGCTCCGCTGCTGGGCGGCTCGGCTGCTGGGCGGCTCGGCTGCTGGGCGGCGCGGCTGCTGGGCGGCTCGGCTGCTGGGCGGCTCGGCTGCTGGGCGGCGCGTCTGCTGGGCGGCTCGGCTGCTGGGCGGCTCGGCTGCTGGGCGGCTCGGCTGCTGGGCGGCTCGGCGGCTCGGCGGCTCGGCTGTTCGGCTGCTGGGCTGCTGGGCGGCTCGGTTGTCCGGCTGCTCGGTCGCTGGGCGGCTCGGCTGTGCTGCTGCAGGGCGGCGCGGCTGGGCAGCAGGTGACGGGGCCGCAGGTAAGGGCGGCGGGGCCGCTGGTAAGGGCGGCGTGGCCGCGGGTAGGGTGGCGGGGCCGCAGATAGGGTGGCGGGGCCGCAGGTAAGGCGGGGGGGGGCCGCGGGTAGGGTGGCAGGGCCGCGGGTAGGGTGGCGGGGCCGCAGGTAAGGTGGCGGGGCCGCAGCAGAGGGCGGCGGGGCCGCAGGTAAGGTGGCGGGGCCGCGGGTAGGGTGGCGGGGCCGCAGGTAAGGTGGCGGGGCCGCAGGTAAGGTGGCGGGGCCGCAGGTAAGGTGGCGGGGCCGCAGCAGAGGGCGGCGGGGCCGCAGGTAAGGGCGGCGTGCCCGCTGGAAGGTGGCAGGGCCGCAGGTGAGGGCGGCACGAGGGGCCGCGGAGGTCGGCAGCGTGCCGTAAGGACGGCACGCGACGCCGCGAAGGGCGGCGACGAGCCGTTACGGGCGGCGCAAGGGCGGCGACGGGCCGCTTAGGGTGGCGACGGGCCGCGAAGGGCGGCGACGGGCCGAGTAAGGGCGGCGCAAGGGAGGCCGCGAGGGGCGACGCGACAGTAGAGAGGGCACACGAGGCGCGACTCGGGCCTAAACTAAGCGCGCTCCGGGCAGGAAAAAAAAATTTCGACTTGGTGGGCCCTAGGAACAGTTCCCACGAGGGAACCTGCTCTGATACCATGAGAAGAAACGAGGATGAATGGACTATGAATGAAGTGGGTACAAGTACTAACCCTAATTGGGTTGTACCCCCTATGGGATACCCCACTACAGCCTACACAAAAGTGTAAGCTATGATGTTCTGACATCCTGAGCTTCGATGTTGATAAAAACTTGTTGTGCATTGACGCCATTGTTTCGTAATGCGTCTATTGTGCTTGTGCAGATCCTTGGGCCCCGCGGTTGTCAAAGGTGAAGGATCGTTCAGATCCAGCTCCTTGAGGATCGGGAGGTCTTCGGGCGTAACTAGAGCCGTCGATGCTCATTGGTTGATGGCTCTCCAGGGCGCTGATGCGGGAGATCAGCTGCTCCAAGAGCGCTGTATCCACGGTCGTTGTGGTAGAAGCGACATTGGTGGATTTTTGTACTGGATTCTCTCCAGTCTCTCCGCAATCTGCGCCTGGCATGATGTTGCCCTTGTTGTAAGATTAAATTATTGAAGAAGCTTGCTTTGAAGCCCCTTTAGCAGTTCCTATAATCCAATCTAGCTCTCATACCATGTTAGAGTGAGGACCTTGGATATGATAGGAATGCCTTAGAAGTGTTTGGTAGCGGAAGTCTTGTTGTAGGAACTCTGATCATAGTAAATGTAAATGACAAAGTTGATTTAAATCAAAGATTACACACATAATAAATAGTTCTAGCTAGCCATGTACTCTGAGGGGTACATTCCCTTATTCTAACTGCTTTACAGGCATTTCTACAGTGACTCTGACTGTTGCACTACTTTCTTGTTACCGATTCGCTGCATGTAACCTGTAGGTACGGTTACGCCTGTTGCCATTCCTCGATGGTAAGTCAATCGTCGGTCCAGATGGTCAACAGTCGCAATAGTTGACTCTTGCGACTGTTGACCTTCCTGCCCTTGATACGGGCTGATCCGATACTGCTGTTGTTGCTGCTTCGATAGGGACTGGTTCGATACTGCTGCACCTACGGGAATGCTGAGTGTAATTCCCTTCATACTCCAACAAGGATTAACATGGCTAGGTCAGGAACGGAAATTATTCAAAGGCGATGCAAGTATATATATACTTACAAAAGTAGGGATTGTACAGATTGACCTAGTTCTTGTTATGATCTCATACAAAATACGCAGCGTAAAAAAACTACAAGAGAGTGAGGAAAATAAACTCAAAAGTTGCTGTGCCATGGCCGACCTTGCAAAGCGGGTGGGCAAAGCAAAGGACATGACCCTGAACGTCGAAAAACCATAAACTCGCAAAATTAGCGTACCTTGTAGGCCATATCTGCCCATGGAGCGGCCCATCCATCCTCCAGTAGCAGCTCTTCTTCTGGAGCTTCCAGAATGTTTTGCACCCCTCATCATGAGCCCTTCATGTAAGAAAATAGCTCGCACTTGACAACGCCGCAGAGAGATCACAACAACAACTATTAGCAAAATGAAAATAAATAAATAAATGATGAGAGCCCATTTTGGTAGTGCAAACAACATGTTGTGGGGAGTAGAGAGTGAATCTGTTTTTTTAGATACATGGTTATGTTTTTTTGTCATGGCCTCGTACGCCAGATAGATTGACTGTCAAATTTGTCATGGTAAAAAAACATCTTTCAAGAGCAAAAAATGTATCATAGCGTCAAAACAAAAAGGCACCCAATTTACACTCACACATACAAAATCTCCAAATTTTGTGATACGCGGACAGTGGAAACGCACACTAAATAAATTATAGTTGAAAAAACAGCAAGAGCTTCCACACACTTCTTAATCAGGTATATTTATGTTATCACGAAAAACAAATTATTTTTTTACTTGCAGTCACATTTTGTTTATTCGTGGTGACGAGGGCAAAGGCAGGCGAAATGGGTATGCACATTCTAGACCGATCGTGCCCAGAAACGTTTGTGACATTAATGAGAAGCTTTTGTACAGAGGTACAATACGAGGTGCTTGTACATTTCTAGGTAAAACACTTCGTTTTGTAGAATCGGAATATTCCTGCAAAATAAGCTTCTGCTTCGTCTCTCTCCCTCCCCACGCGGGGTCCCTCCCTCCCATCCAGCCGAATTCCTCATCTTGTCAATCTCACCCACAAAACCCTAACTTCAATTTCAGCCTCGCCTTCTGTAGCTCGCACTTCTCCGTTAGTAGTTTATGTCGCTCCTACCCGCTGGTTCTCCTCCAATCTAGCCTACCATATGTCAGCTAGAGTTTTTTAGAATCTCATATCTCCTCTTGAATGCGTCCATCAGCATTAGGTCCGAGCCTGGGCTGACCGTTGTCTTTCATGCCTTAATCTCTTTGTCTCCATCCCATTAGTCGGCGTTTGGTGCTCTAAAATACAAATCTATTCCCGTTAGTGGGCTATTCCACTAAAGGCTTGCCAAGATGAGGATCATGATAAAGGGAGGGGTGTGGAAGAACACGGAGGATGAGATCCTGAAAGCGGCTGTGATGAAGTACGGCAAGAACCAGTGGTCGCGCATCTCCTCGCTGCTCGTGCGCAAGTCCGCGAAGCAGTGCAAGGCGCGGTGGTACGAGTGGCTGGATCCGAGCATCAAGAAGGTGCGCGCGTCGGCCTACCAGTGTGTAGTCGTCGTCTGTATCCCTTGACTTCGCTGTGCGGTTTACCGTCTGCACAGTCCGAACGTCAGATTGATCTTTATCTCACACATGGGACACATGTGGTGATAAATTCGGCTGTTTTGTTGCGGTTCTCGATTGCTCTGCCGGGTGCAAATGTTTATCTCGTTTTCTTGATTGTTCGTCCATTTCACCATTGACACTTGACGGGCACTATCCAAGGCGAATATTAGGAAATTCAGGCGAGCTACGTCACATAAGTCCGCGCATTTGTCGATAGGGTGCCGTTCACCTGGCGTCTGGCCTCTCATCCGTTTTATTGCAGAAACTCCTAACTGTGTTGACCCGCCATGGATATTGCTCCCATTATGTCCGGAGTCAGCATGCTATGACCGAGTCGATTCACTGTATTGTTAGTGCGCCAGGTGTACTCGCGTGGTGTTGTTTCATCGGTTCTACTTGACGTTCGTTCCTCATGCCACCCCAAGCCATGGAATCTGTGTTCGTTTCTTTTCCTTTCACTCTCTCCCCTCTTTTCCTTGATTCTTCCCTGCCTCATGTCTCCCGTCTTCACGTCGTCCCGCTTTCGTGTGCGTGTGCCTGTGCGTGTGCGTGTGCGGGCGTGAGCGTGCGCGTGTGCCGTGCAGACGGAGTGGACGCGCGAGGAGGACGAGAAGCTGCTGCACCTGGCGAAGCTCATGCCCACGCAATGGCGCACCATCGCGCCCATCGTCGGCCGCACGCCCGCGCAGTGCCTCGAGCGCTACGAGAAGCTCCTCGACGCCGCCTGCTCGCGCGACGACTCCGCCGCCGCCGGCTACGACGCGTCCGACGACCCGCGCCGCCTGCGCCCCGGTGAGATCGACCCGAACCCCGAGGCGAAGCCGGCTCGGCCCGACCCCGTGGATATGGATGAGGACGAAAAGGAGATGCTTTCGGAGGCGCGCGCGCGCCTGGCGAACACGCGCGGGAAGAAGGCGAAGCGCAAGGCGCGCGAGAAGCAGCTGGAGGAGGCGCGGCGGCTGGCGTCGCTGCAGAAGCGGCGCGAGCTGAAGGCGGCGGGGCTGGAGGCGAACTACCGGCGGCGGAAGAACAAAGGGATCGACTATAACGCGGAAATTCCGTTCGAGAAGAGGCCGCCGCCCGGGTTCTTCGACACGAGCGGCGAGGAGGCGAACTCCGTGCAGCCGATGCGGTTCCCCGTGACGCAGGAGGAGCTGGAGGGCAAGCGGCGCGCGGACGTAGAGGCGGCGGAGCGCAAGCACGACGCGGCGGCGAACAAGATGCGGCTGCGACACGACGCACCCGCCAGCGTGCTGCAGGTCGCTGGGGAGGGGGGGGAGAGCAGGGGGGACGGGGTGGTGGGGAGGATGTATGAGGGGGTGGGAGGTGAAGCATGTGCGGGAGGGGTGAGGGCGTGAGGGTGATGGTTGGCTATGGTTATGAATTATGGTTCACGATCTTCTCGTCCTCCCCTTCTTCCTTTCCCCTCCGCACTCCCGCCATGCTGTGTTTTCTTGCAAATTCCTTGTCGAAGTGCCCATTTCCATAATCCTTCCTCTCTCGCTTCAACCCCAAGGGCTTCTCCGCCTCTCGCTGCTCCTCCTCTCCTCTGCTTGCCCTTTCACCTTCTCCCCTTTTCGTCCTATCACACTCCCGCGTTTTGCTGTCCTCTCTTCTGTGCTCCTTCACTCCTCTCTTCTGTGCTCCATGCTGATTTCTCCCCGTTCATCCCCCCTCCCCCGTTCCCGTCCCCTCCTCCTCCCCCCCACTTCTCTCTCCCATCCTCTCTCCCGTTCGTGCTCCTCTCTCGCCTCGTTTAACCTCTCTTTCCCCGTGCTCCCTTCCCCGCAACCCCCCCACCCCTCCCCCTTTTCACCCTCCCGTTGCCCCACTCCCTGCGCGCATCCCCGCAGGTGAACCAACTCAACGATCCGGCGGCGGTGCGCAAGCGCTCCAAGCTCTCGCTGCCCGCGCCGCAGATCTCGGACCAGGAGCTGGCGGCGATCGCCAAGATGACGCACGCCGCCGACGCGCTCGCCGCCAGCGAGGACGGCGACCCCGCGACGCGCGCGCTGCTCGCCAGTTACGGCCAGACGCCCGCGCACGCCGCCGCCGCCGCCGCGCTCACGCCGCTGCGCACGCCGCAGCGCACGCCCGGCGGCAAGGGCGACGCGATTATGATGGAGGCGGAGAATCTCGCGCGGCTGAGAGACACGCAGACGCCGCTGTTCGGCGGACAGAACCCCGATCTGCACCCCTCGGACTTCTCAGGCATCACTCCGCGGAAGAAAGAGGCGCACACGCCCAACCCGCTCGCCACGCCCTTCCGCACGCCCGGCACGGCCGTGGGGATGACCCCGGGCGGGCTGGCGCTGGCGGGGGCGGGCGCGCCGGGGAGCGTCCGCGGGGCGTCGGTGGGCGGAACGCCCGGGAAGGACTCGGTGTTCGGCGCGACACCGTCGGAGGGGATGGTGACGCCGGGCGGGGAGAGCGTGCGCGCGGAGAAGCTGCGGCTGGCGGAGGTGCGCGAGAGCTTGCGCCAGGGGCTGGGGTCGCTCCCCGCGCCCAAGAACGAATACTCCATCGTCGTCCCGGAGTTGCCCGAGGACGAGCGCGCGGAGGGCGCGCGGGGCGCAGGCGAGGACGGGGAGGAGCTAGACATGGAGCTGGATATGTCGGAGATGCAAGAGCGGCAGGAGGCCGCCAGGCGCGCGGAGGAGGAGGCGCGGCTGCGCAAGCGGTCGCAGGTGCTGCAGCGGGAGCTTCCGCGACCGTCGGTCGCAGCCGTGAAGCGGGTGGTTGACGCGGCGGGGAAGGGGCGCGGAGGGGTAGGCGGGGGAGGCGGGGGCGTGACGCTGATGGAGCGCGCGGAGGAGATGGTGCGCGCGGAGCTGGCGCTGCTGCTGCAGCATGACGCTGTGGCGTATCCGCTGCCGCCCGGGGCGGAGGGCGCGGGAGGGGGCAAGGAGGGGAAGCGGAAGAAGGGCGGGAGGGGCGAGGACGGGAGTGCGGCGGGGTTGGAAGCGGTGGATTTGGAGGACGTGGAAGATGACCTCATGCAACAGGTGGGTTGCTCACTCGGGCTCGGCGCGGGAGAGGGTGAAAGATTCTTGGGAGTGTAAAAAAATGTTTGGAGCAGGTGTGCTCGGCGCGCTGGGCACTGAAGCAGGCGGATAGGTCGTTTGGAATGACGCTGCAGAGCTTTGTGACCAGGCTGCACGGCTGTTGAGAGCCGCCTCCTTTGTGTTAGGATTTACAGGGGAGGGGGGACTGGTGAGGAGAGGAGAGGTCTGGGGAGAAGCTAGCTTAAATCGGAAAAGGCGGATGCGACCGTAAGCTTTTGCCAACCTGGAAAAGATGAGGGCTGAGCCGGATAAAGTTGAAATGGAATTTGTGGGTGGTAGTGGGATGTTAGTGTGCTGGTGCACGTCAGAAGTGCACGTCAGAAGGTGCACGTCAGAAGGTGCACGTCAGAAGGGGGGATGATGAGTGGGTTGAGGCTGTGCAGTGCTGTTACTGTGTGCACTTTTGCTGCATTTGCAGCCTGCTTTGCCAGCCATTCAGCATGCAATGGCGATGTCAGTACCCTTATTGCCTCCATGTGCTTTCACCTCGCCCAACAGCCCCTCCTCCCCATTTCCCCTCCCCTCTGCCTTCTCTTCTGCTTCCCCTCTCTCTCCCTTCCCTCTCCCTTCCCCCACCCCTTCCCCTCTCCCCCCATCCCACTCCACCCTCCCCCACCACACCCTCGCTTCGAACCTCCCCCCTGCGGGACGTGCAGGCGCGGGCGCTACTGAGCGAGGAGGCGGGGTACGTGCGGATGGCGCTGGGGCAGGAGGACACGGGCGCGGACGAGTGGGGGGAGGCGTGGGAGGCGTGCGCGGACGACCTCGTCTTCCTGCCCGCGCAGGCTGCCTGGGGCCTGGCGTCGCTGGCGGCGAGCGCGGACGTGGTGGCGGCGCTGCGCCCTGTGGCAGAACGAGTGGGCAAGGCAGCGGAGAGCGAGGGGAAGAGGTGCAGCAAGCTGGAGCACAAGACCAAGGTCATGTCGCATGGATACCAGGTGCGTGGCGGAGGGGAGGGGAGGACGGACGGGGAGAGGCAGGGGGAGGGAGGGCGGGGTGGGAGGGGAGGTTGGTTGGGGGTGACGAGGGGGTGTGGATGGTGGGTGTGTGGTGAGGTGGGGATGGAAGGGCGGAGTGGGGATGCATGGGGAGGGGATGGGTTTGAGCTGCCTTGATTGATGCGTAAGACCAGCTGCTGCTGTCTAACGCTTTGTTCCCCCCTGCACACACCGCCTCACCCCCCCCGTCCCCCCTCAACCACCTTCCCATTTGCTTGACCACACGGGATTCATTCGCCATCTTAGCTTACAAACATCTGGCACCCGTCAGATCCACTCTCAATCAAACTCCTTCATCCCTCGTCACCTTCTCCCATCATGCGCCTTCCACCCCCTCCCTCCCGCTCCCGTGCGCTACTTCTCCCCCTTCCCCACCCCCCTTCCCCCTCGCTTACACTCCTGCAGAACCGTGCGGAGGCGCTGTGGAAGCAGGTGGAGGCGGCACACAGGGAGGCAGGCACTCTAGCAACCGAGCTGCAGTGCTTCCGGGCACTGCACGCCCAGGAGGTGCTAGCGGCGCCCCGACGCATAGAGACGCTGCAGGGTGATGTGGCGGGGGTGACGGAGCGGGAACGAGCGCTGCAGTTGCGGTATGAGAATTTGCTGGTGGAGAGGCAGCACTGGCGCAAGGTGGTGGCGGAAGGGGAGAGACGCAAGGCGGAGGCGGAAGCTGCTGCTGCTGCTGCTGCTGCCGCAGAGGCTGAAGCGAAGGCTAAGGTTAAGGCAGAAGCTGCTGCGAAGGAAGCAGCTGCTGCTGCTGAGGCAGAGAGAGAGAAGGAGAGGAAGTTGGAAGAGGAGAGGGAGAAGGAGAAGGAGAAGGAAGGGGAGAAGGAGAAGGAAGGGGAGAAGGAAAAGGAAGGGGAGAAGGAGAAGGAAGGGGAGAAGGAGAAGGGGGCGGTTGCGATGGATGGGGTGGAGGGGGAGAAGGAGAAGGAGAAGGATGGTTCATGTGATGGTGATGGTAAGGGAACGGAGGAAATGGCTTCCGAGGCAAGAGAGGGTGCAGGTGAGGAGGATGGGCGACCTGGGGAAGGCGAGAAGCAGGGGCAAGGGGCGAACGCAGAGGGAAGCAGAGCAGCAGAAGCAGAGGAGGAAGCAAAGGAAGAGGAGAGGAATGCAAAGGAGAAAGAGGGGAAGGTGAAGCAGGAGGAGAGTGAGGCGATGGAAGTGGAGGGAAAGGTCAAGGAGGAGGGGGAAGGTGCTGCATGAGAGGAGCATTGTGGGGGGGAGGGCAGGGAAGGGAAGGGAAGGGAGATTGCTGATGCGGACGGGAGCACTGCTGCACTGGGAGCGCCAGTGTTTAGGCAGATCAGTGTTTTGTGTTGGGACTGGATGCTTGAGTGCAGAGCAGTGTGTTTGGTCCGGCTGCGTGAAAACAAGTTGACAGGAGACCTTTCACGCGGATTGATGTAACAGGCACTGTTACTTGCAGGGAGGACTCATTACAAGCAGGACTGGAGCTGCAAGCGACTTTCACAACTGTAACTGGCTTGGGAGCGAGGGGAGCTGCGATGCGAGCGGAGATGCTGGAAGCTGCTTTTGAAGGAACAGGGTGGTTCGTTATGGGTGGTGTTGGTGAGTCTGCTGTAGCAGCAGACCTGAGCACGCTGCCATTCTCCTCTCGTGCACTGTAGTGGCGGCAGGGAGAAAGAATGGATGCTGGCCGCATTGTTTGCTGAGCCCTGTGCTGTCATCTCAGGTGCACACTGGAGTGTAGAGGCTGCTAGAGGTGCTCGTGGTGTTCCGTGCCGACACACAGGGCCTGACGACAGTACTGAAAATGATACACACCAAAGAAGCATAACAGGTGGTGAGGTGAGGAGGACCAAGTGCAGAGAGGGATGTTCTCAAAAGGGCTGTATGCTTGCGAGGGGCCTAGGGGAGGTTGAGGACTGGAGCACCGGAAAATGATGTTTTTGAACGATTTGAGGGTGCCATGAATGGTGATGGTGAGTTGTGTCTGCAGTCCTGAGCATACCGCACAAAATGCAGTAGGCACTGATGGGAAGGTGATGGCATATGTATCCTGTACCGTAAATTTTGAGATAATATGCAAACATGAGTATACAGTACTTGGCAATTCTGGATGGGCCTCCTACGAGATGATATCTAAACTCTACATGGTATTGGGACTTTTCAAAATCTTATATACTACCACAGCTGGAGTTGTGGTAGTGGATGATTGTCTGGCCAGCCAACCTCCATTAAAACCGGGGTGCACATTCAGCTGAATGTGCATCAAAGGTTATCCCTTGACTGAGTGGGTTACGAGGTGTGCTTTCAACCCCTTCAAGTCGAAATTCGTTTCCCCCCTCCCCCGCAATTTCGTTTCCCCACGCCCCCGCAATTTCATTTCCCCCTCCCCGTCGAAATTCGTTTCCCCCTTCCCCCGCAATTTTGTTTCCCCCCTCCCCCGCAATTTCGTTTCCCCCCCCTCCCGCCAATCTGTTTCATCCCTCCCGCCATTCGGTTTCACCCACACTTGCCATTTCACCCCCTCCCGCCACCTACGAAATGCCCGAAGCTCTAGCGGAATCATTTTTTTGTCGCCCCTCGTGAGCCAATCACTGTTTTTCTCCAAACCCCCTTCCCAACATCTCAAGCCGAACCGCGTTGAATGTGCACCCTGGTTTTAACTGTAGTACTACCGTAACTAATACGTAAGACATTGTGAACAGAAACTACCTTACTTCATAACAAGCAGATGTCGGCCTACCGTACTACTCTTGGTGTGCAGCAAATGCCAGCTGGCACGAAGTGTAACACCACCACGCTACGGCACTACATCACCGCTGCAAGCACCTACTCTACCCTCAGAAATCAAAATACCGTACTAATGGCCCTGCTACAGGGAATATACACTAGTGTTGCTGGCAGCGCATGGTGTGCAGAGCGTGGCGGTGGCGCTAGGAGAAGAGGAAGTGGAAGGGTCCAGAGTCGCGGAGGTGCGGCGGCATGTGAAGCCCATTGAGAGAGAGGTTCGGCAGCTCCTTGCATATATCATCCACCGCAAACGGCACCCTGCAATATGCACACATGTTGAGAGGACGGGGTCCAGAAACAAGGGAGATCCTTTGCTTTTTGCAAGTGGACGATGGCAGTAGTGTAGCAGAGAGAGCTGTGGGGCACACAGTGGCTGGTAGCGATGGGCACCTTGAGGTGAGATGTGTGCAGCACGCAAAAACACGAGCGTGCAGCTCGGAAGCATGTGACCAGGAAGGAACACGTGAAGGGAAAAAAAAGAGAGGATGCTAGAAAAAGAGAGACAGAGCGAGCGCAAGAAGAGCGAGAGTGGGACGTACGAGGAGTCGTCATCAAGCAGGAAGGAGTTGGTGCCGTTGAGAGCCGACTCCTCCGTGCTCTTGACACGCATGGCGTTGATGACCGCAGGCGCCACGGAGTGCGTGCCGTACTTGTCGTCGCGGTACATGGTGCTGATGCGGTACAGCTGCTGCATGCTCAGCGCCGGACACAGGTCGCTGCTTATGTCCTCCAGTGACTTCTTGGGCTTCTGGTGGATCACCTGTGGTGTGGGAGGGTCATGACGGAGGGGAGGGGTGGGGGGCGTGCAGCAGATAGGGGGAATGGCAGGGTTGTTGGATGGTGCAATGGGTTGATGGGAGAAGGGCACAGGTCGCTGCTGATGTCCTCCAGAGACTTCTTGGGCTTCTGGTGGATCACCTGTGAGAGGGGTCATGGGGGCATGGGGGAATGATTGCAGCGGATACGGGGGATCGGGGTGAGCTGCTTGGGTGGTTGCTGAATGGTAGAGTGGATTGGTGGGCGCAAGGACACACGCAGCACGCACGCAGCACGCACGTGGCACACAGTGCAGCGGCACGCGAGAGCATGGCTCACCAGGAAACCAACGGCTTGGCGGATGAACCTGAGCTCCTCCCATGCAGAGCCCGCATACTCGTCCGTGGCCTCATATATCCACTGCAGTGACTTGTTTCGAGTCGACTCAAATGTCTCACCAGGAAGCCGACGGCCTGGCGAATGAACCTGAGCTCCTCCCATGCGGAGCCCGCATACTCGTCCGTGGCCTCGTAGATCCACCGCTCCAGCTCGGCCAGTCCTGCCTTTACGTACTCCCCGTTGCTGAACGAGCAGCACTCCCGACGCAGCAGCAGACTGAAAGAGGACCCGGAGGGGGGTGGGGAGGGGAGAGGGAGAGGGAGAGGGAGAGGGAGAGGGAGAGGGAGAGGGAGAGGGAGAGGGAGAGGGAGAGGGAGAGGGAGAGGGAGAGGGAGAGGGAGAGGGAGAGGGAGAGGGAGAGGGAGAGGGAGAGGGAGAGGGAGAGGGAGAGGGAGAGGGAGAGGGAGAGGGAGAGGGAGAGGGAGAGGGAGAGGGAGAGGGAGAGGGAGAGGGAGAGGGAGAGGGAGAGGGAGAGGGAGAGGGAGAGGGAGAGGGAGAGGGAGAGGGAGAGGGAGAGGGAGAGGGAGAGGGGGAGGGGGAGGGGGAGGGGGAGGGGGAGGGGGAGGGAGAGGGGGAGGGAGAGGGAGAGGGAGAAGGAGAGGGGGGGAGAGAGGGAGAGGAGGACGACAGGGGGAGAGGGAGAGGAAGAAGGGAGAGGAGGAAGAGGGAGAGGAAGAGGGAGGGGATGAGGGAAAAGATGAGGGAGGGGATGCGGGAGAGGATGAGGGAGAGGGAAGGGGAGAGAGAGAGGGAGAGAGAGAGGGAGAAGGAGAGGGAGAGGAAGAGGGAGCATGGCATGCTGTTGTGTAGTGCTCGATGCATGGGTGCATCAGAGAAGGACAGAACGAGATGCATAACAGGCAAGTGCAGCATGCACGCACCTGTTGAAAACAGCTGCGCGTGTACCTGTTGAGGCGCAGGTGTGGCAGAGAGGGAGAGAACGAGCGGCATAACAAGCACGCGGAGCTACCATACACAGCACACCCTGGAAGAGCTTCACACATGTGTTGGAGAGCTGTACATGCGCGCACCTGTTGACAAGAGCTGTGCGCGCACCTGTTAAAGAGCCCACGTTGACGTAGGCGAAGATCTGTGAGAAGAGCTTGCGCACGAGGAAGACGGATTGAGGCGCCTCTTACCCCCTTCCATACCCCACCCCCTCTACTCCCCCCTCACACTCCTGTTGAACAGCTGCAAGCGCACCTGTTGAAGAGCTGCACGTTGATGTAGGCGAAGATCTGCGAGAAGAGCTTGCGCACGAGGAAGGCGGGCACGTGGTTGGCCTTGAGTGTGTTCAGCAGCTCTGTCAGCCGCGCTATGATGCCGCTCCACTGCGCCACTCCCGGTGCTGCCGCCTGGTTCTGAGCGGCTGTGCGTGCGTCTACTGGCTGCCCCCGCTGCTGCTGCCGCGTCATCACCCCCGGGCGGAACGACCGGCTCGCCTGGGTGAGAGAGTAGGAGGGGTAGGTGAGGGGAACGGCACGGGGAAAGTGGTTCCACAGGCATGGCATAGCAATGGCGCTCCCCAGTGGGTTAGAGTGGTTCAGTTGCATGAAACAGCGGTGAAAACGACATACGAAGGAGTAACGGAAGGTGCAAGCACACGGACTCCGCACGAACGTCACACGAACTTGGATGCAGGCGACGAGACGAGCATCTGAGAGATGCCCTTCTTGAGGTTGTCACGAATGCCAAAGCACACATTCTCCACATCACGCCGCCGCAGGTTGCTGCTTCAAGAGCAGCACACAGAGCCCTCAGGGACCCCACAGGGACGCCACAGGGACTCACCTGGATGCAGGCAACGAGCATCTGAGAGATGTCCTTTTTGAGGTTGTCGCGGATGGTGGAGTAGACCTTCTCCACGAACGCCGTGAGCTGCTGCTTGAAGAGCAGCGCGGGGAACTTGGGGTCCACCGCTTGCAGCCCGTCCGCCTGCACTGCACTCGCCTCGTCCTGCGCTGCCGCCACCGGCCCTCGGAACGACTGTTGCAGGGCAGGTGGGGAGATGCATGCGGTGAGAAGGGGCATGAGGGCAGGATGATACGAGGGCGGGAGGGAAGGAGGGTATGTATGAATGCGCAGGTGAGTGGTGATGATGCTGGAGGGCGAGCACGGGGATGCACAACAGGCAGCAACACACGACCCACCGCCACGGGCACAAGAGGAATATGCGGTGGTGAAAAGGGGTGACGAGTGGAGCAGTGAGCAGGGTAGCGAGCAGGGCAACAAGCGGGGCGCGCACCTGAGTCATCCTGCCAAACAGCGACGTGGCAGCCTGCTGCTGGCGCCGCCGCTGCGCCTGCATCTGGCTCTGCGAGGCCCCGCCAGGACGGAACGAGCGGTGCAGCAGGTGCAGCAGCGCCGACGCATTCGACAGCCAGAACGCCAGCCTGTCCGCACTGTTGCTGGTGGAGCCGGCAGTATCATGCGCATCCACTGCCACGCTCATGGTCTGGATGATGCGGTCAAACACGTTGGTCTGCTCGGCGTCGAAGGAGCGCCAGTGCAGCAGCGCGCGGTAGAGAACGCAGGCAGCCACGGGGCGGTTGTTGTCGAAGCCCAGGTCTGACACCACGAACTGCAGCACCGCGTCTTGATCCGCCTGGCATCCGAGGTGGGGGGGACGGGGGTGGGGGAGGGGGAAGAGTAAGAGAGGTGGTAGAGCACACAGGCAGCCACGGGGCGGTTGTTGTCGAAGCTCAGGTCTGACACCACAAACTGCAGCACCGCGTCTTGATCCGCCTGCCGTGAGAGGGTGGGGAGTGGCGAGGGTGGAGAGGGTGGGGGAGCGGGAAGAGTACGAGAGGTACACCCAGGGAGGCGCGGGTCAGGGAGCGGCGTCATGTGTGCTCTACACCTGTGTGTGTTGCATGCCTTTGGGGA